CAAAAACCCTAAAATGTGATAAATTAAATAATACCTGGAACAGGTGTTACAAAATGACTTTTCCTTGGCTTCAGCTGATTGTATGATCACGCCTTTGCCTGGAATCACACAAGTGTTCATCCAATTCTCTCAAACCATGGATCTGATACCAATTTGTAACAACCCAAAAATCATGATAAAATTTTTCATTTTTATAAAGATTTTCACAATACCATAAGATGATCAACCATTATTTTCAAATCAAATTCATAGAATCAGAGTAACAAATGATCTCTCAAAACATAAATTAATAGGAAGATGTGTATAATCACGCCTTCACCTTGCCCCGATCATCTGATGTACTTGAAAACATTGAAATCTACAACCGTAAGCCAAATATTAGTAAGTGCCCCCAAAATATCTCACACAACAATACATATATAATTCATGCACACCGGGCCTATAATACAAGAGTAGACCGCCCCCAAGCCCATAACATAAGACTGGAATGCCCTCCCGACCCTCAAATTATGACTGGATTGCTCCTGAGCCCACATCATAAGACTGGAATTCCCTCCCGACCCTCAACTTATGACTGTAATGCTCTCGGGTTTGTTGGATTACGGCGCAAAGCAGTATTGCCTCAACCTAATCGCACCATGTCGACATATGCAACCAATAATTAACAACAAGCAAGTACAAGGAATCATACAGATCTACCAAATCTAACAGGTCACTACATTATATCAACATTATACACACAAGGACACATACTACAGTACAAAGTATAGTAAGAAAATGCACCTTGCGGTTTAGAAGATAACAATATCGATCACATATCCGATAACCAGCTCTACATGTCACCTATATAGCATATTGGGACAAAATCTCAAACTACAGCCTAAAATCCTAATTTTGGCCTAAAGTTAAATTTGGTCAAAAAGTCAAGCCAAAGTCAAAGTCAACACTCAAAGGTCATTCAGCCATTCGCCACGTTGTGACCAACCATTGGTTACATCGTGGCATAATAAAGACAAAATAGTTACAGATCAGACTCTCGTCACGTTGTGACGACCAAAGTGTCATGTCGTAAGGAACGTTCTACGCAGATTAATGCCTTAAGCTCTTAATCTTTTAAGCCACGCAACCAATCCTTCCAGAAGGTTTTCTCCATCTCTGAATACCATAAAAATTGTAGCTTTTTAGATATGCATGTCGCAAACACAAACTAGGTCAAAATGAAGGGAAAATAAGATTAGATCTCATGCATGAAACCTAAAGCTCTTAATATTCCAGATCTAGGACAGAGGGTATCAAAGAAGTATTGAGAAGTCATAAAGTTGCTAACTTTATGAGATCCCAACACTCAAACTTCCTAAATGATGAGAAAAGTGAGCCAAACACTAAATCTAATTAGCTTGAGCTAAAAAGGCAGAAACTTGAGGACTTACAAGAGTCCTAATGCAACTCAAGATGATGATGGAGTGGCTAGTAAGCTGAAATGATGCACTAAATGCCTTCTCTTCTTTTTCAAGGCCTCAAATCACCAAAAATGGAGCTCAAAGACCAATAATGGAATATTAGGGTTTTTGGAGGGTGAAGGGAGGTGATAGAGGTTGAGGGGGAGAAAACCCTAGCCCTCACTTCTCTTAAATAGGGAGACAACCCCCAAAATTAGGGTTTGGGTGTGCAAGGGTTGTCACGTCGTGGCCCACATGTAGGAACGTCGTGACAACTAAATAGGATGCATGTTTTCTCGGGCACCTCTTGACACAGTAGTGCTCACGTCGTGACCAAGATTTAAATCCTTAAAATTTTACTTAATAACTCGAAAGCAATGCTTACCTGGAATTGAGTGTTACAAATTCACACATCCATGAAGCAAAATATCAAACCAAACATTCTGAATCCAACTGATTCAGAGTCTAACTCTTAAGAGAACAATTATGAAACTTAACAGACCATTGTTCAACTTTTCATAACATAAATTTAATACTTGGGCAAAACTGCAAGATTGGTCCCTATAGTATTCAAAAAACATTGGATAGAGTCCAAAAAGTTCCTAACTTGCATGGAAGGTCCAAAATAAAAAAAATTTCCTTGATTTTGATCCAAAAAAACTTGAAAAGATGATTATGCCCTTTTATTTTTATTTTTGTATTTTTTATAATTATTCTAATACTATTTTAATTAAAAAATAAAGAAAAAAGATGTAACACCGTAAATTTTCAAACAAAATTTTCATTTTAAAACACAATAAAACTCATGTATATTTTCTCAAATATCACAAATATCTAAAATGTTAACAAATCCACAAGTAAAATCACAATCCCGGAATCATAAAAATAATCTCTATCTAGTGTGTACTATCAAGCCAGTGCCTTCCCGTGATCTTGAGAGGTACTTGAAACACATAACACATAACACGGTAAGCACGAAGCATAGTGAGTTCCCAAAAATACCACACACAACTCATTAGCTACTCGAGGCTAAACTCAATAAGACCCTCCGATCAATGTGTCTCAGTGGGACCCTCTGGTCCCACAACTTGGGTGGACCCTCCGATCCTAACTCAGTAGCTAAGAATAATACACAAAACAAATCACAAAGACATAATGCAGGATATCACAATACTCAATATAACACATAATACCCTCCGGTCACACAAAGATTACCACTCTAGGTAAAGTATAGTGAGAAGACTCACCTCGTAGCTAGCAAGTAATACTCTCGTACACGAATCTCGTACTAGCCTTCGCCTAACACATAAGATAACAATCTCTAATTAACACTTAAATCACGACTCAAAATAAACTAGGTTATTGACTCTCTCAAACTCTTGGAATGGGTAAAAGACCATTTTACCCCTCTATGGTTCCCATTCTCACTGCCTTGACCAAACCCTAAAATCAACAAAAGTCAACACTCGAGTCAATTGTTCAAGTTGACCTCATTCGCCGAGTGCATCTATGTGACTCGCCAAGTCTCCCTTGTTTCTTCAGAACATCGCGGAAACCCAACTCAACTCGTCGAGTTACCCGTGTCCAGACTCATCGGGGAACACCTTAGCCGACTCATCGAGTCAACTCGTTAACTCGGCGAGTCCCTCCAGTATGAATTCTCATTTAGACGTTTTAAGACATATCCACCACTCAACATTCTAGATCTAGGCTCCCAAGGCTCTAATTTCATGTAAATCTTTGATCTTTACGTTCATGCATGACACATTTTGCTCTAAAATGCCATTACAACTCTAATAAAGATGTTTAATCTCAATAACTCTTATATGGCTGAATAAAGCTAGGATCTTTGGACTCTATGGACCTCACATGGTCCAGATCTGAAGTCTAGACCTTCTGATAGACTCAATGCACTCAATGTCCCAATAAAAAGGTGGTAAGAACCCTAAACTTCCATAATCATGAGATCTAACCATTAAGATGAGAAAGGTGTAAGCTTTTTACCTTCCACAGAAGCTCTGGACAATATAGCACTGATTCCAACAGTTCCTCCTCATTCCTTGCTGGATAACCTCCTTCTTCTCCTCAAAAGATGCACTAAAATACTCAAATATTAGCCTTAGGACTCTCTTAGCTCACTACACACGTTTAGGGTTTCACTAAGGGATGTTGGGCAGCTGGTGAGGTGCAAATGAGGTCATAAGTTCCCTTAAATAGGCTCCAACCTTGTAGATTTAGGGTTTCTTCTCACAGTACCAACTCGGCGAGTCGACTCTCTAACTCGTCGAGTTGGTTATTAGACCCACGTGGTCAAATCAGTCTCTACTCGACGAGTTGAGGCACCAACTTGTCGAGTTGCTCAATAGATCTCAAAACTCTCAATGTGGAAATATATACCATAAATCTTAAAATCCATACCAAAAATTCAATCAACAAATTCAAATCCACAATTCTCTCTTTTGCCTCCGGACTATTTGATATATCACAACTTTGTACAATTAGGATGGATCGATTTATACATACTAGTCTAGCCTATCTCTCATTACTAGGAATGCTTATAATTTCAGGTCTCTTTCTCTTACAGTTGCAGTTGCAAGTTAGAATCCAAAAGAAAAAAATGATATGCCCAGCTCCTACTCCGAATCTTATTTTTACAAGTTTGAGTGTAAAGAAAATGAGAAAATTGGTCCTTTTTTTTCTTCTTCTCTACGTGATTTATGTATTGCGATTGCAAGTGGGTAATGTAAAGAAAACGAGAAAAATGATATACCTACCCCACCACAAATCTTCATCTTCGCTCGTCTCTGCCTCCGCTTCCACCTTCGCCTTCGTCAATCTCTTATTCTCTGCCTTTACCGACCTCTACGCTTCTCTGCCACATATCAATATAGTTGTATTGGTTAAGTTGATTCATTGCCTTGGTTTTTACTGATGAACTTGAATCCCCAAATAAATTCAGAAGTTGAAGTGCAATCATAAAATGGTTGTCGATTTAATCACTGAAGATGGTACTAGTGAAGCTACGATGTCGTCAATTTAATGGTAGCGATGGAGGAAATCAGAGAATCATGATTTAAAGTTATGTATTCATGGGCATCTGATAGGGTTTTACCTGGGCTACCATAAAAATTGCATTTTCTTTTAGTTAGACTTGACAAATTAGGGTTAAGGTTTGTGATAGGGACATGAACAAAAGCTGTGAGAGTCATGATGTATGACTCTGACCATGTGATCATGAAACAACTTAGTAGTTCACGTATAAGATGAAGTTTAGAAGGAGTTATGTCACTAAGAGAGAGAGAGAGAGAGAGAGAGAGAGAGAGAGAGATGAGTGGAGTGGAGTGGGGGATAACTTTTTTTTTAAATTAAAATAATATTATAATAATTATAAAAATATATAAAAACAAAATGACACAATCGTTTTTTCAAATTTTTTTAGATAAAATCATAAAATTGTTTTGATTTTGAACTTGCAGTTTTTTAAATAATACAATGAGGATATTATAGTTTTGTCTAATACTCGAAAACAAGAATTTTACTAGGCCGAACTACACATCTTTGATGGCAGGCCCATCTACATTTTGGAGTTTGGTGTTTGGACAAACATCGTCGGATAAACAAATTCCCAAAATCAATTTTGAGTTGACGGACGCCACGCCACTCAATTTCATAACCCGCGTATTCCAAATTGCTTATCTTTCTTCTTCATTCCGACTACTTTCACGTCCACATAGACGTCACCAGATAAAAATCGTCGTCTTTGCTTGCTACTTCAAGAATTCCAGGCATCGCAAAAGGCGGCATCGGCCATACAAGATTGTTTTACCCCTTCAACCGGTTTTCTCACGGTGTAAATTCTCCAATTCGGGTATTTTTTTTTTCCTTTCTCTTAAATTCGTCTTTTTTCGAACCCCTCTTTGATCGATTTTTTAAGAAAGCGAACCACTTGCTTTCGGCAAGTTTGAAAAAATTAAATAGACCGGGATAGATGAAACGGGCGATGGGTTAGCGTGGGTGCTATTGGTTTTTTTGGTTCATTTTTGGAGTTTCGGGTTTTCTAGAACTAGGGTTTGGGATGAAAAGCCGATCTCATCGTCTACCGACGATTTCGGACACACCGGATGACTGGGTGGACGAGTCTTGGACGGTGGATTGTGTGTGTGGGGTTAATTTTGATGATGGAGAAGAAATGGTCGATTGTGATGAATGTGGTGTTTGGGTGCATACCAGGTGTTCGAGATATGTCAAAAGTGAGAAACTCTTTTCTTGTGATAAGTGCAAAAGCAAGAAGCTTAGGAAAGAGAGTGAGGAAACGGAGGTTGCACAATTGTTGGTTGAGTTGCCTACGAAAACATTGAGAATGGATAATCCGTATCCCATGAGTTGCCCTCCTCAAAGCTCATTTCAGGTTTGGACTGAGATTCCTTTAGAAGAAAAGGTACACGTGCAGGGTATTCCTGGTGGTGATCCTGCATTGTTTAGTGGGGTGTCTCCACTTTTCAGTCAACAGCTTTGGAAGTGCACAGGATATGTTCCAAAAAAGTTTAATTCTCAATACAGGGAGTTCCCTTGTTGGGATGAAAGACAGGATGATGATGATGATGATGATGACAAAGACAATGAAGGACTTGAAAATCCTGCCTGTAAAGGGGCTGATGCCTTGTTTTCATTGTCAACTTCTGGTGGCAATAAAAGCCATGCTAATGAAGGAGGTATTTTGGATATGGGCCCACCAACTACTGATACTAAGAAGCAAGATGTGAGAAAGGAAAGAAGCTTATTGAAGCCTAGTGTGATTCATTCAAGCAACCAAAAGAAAGATGATTCTAAGGTAATCAAGGACCAAAACAGGAAGAAAAATGTCAAAGCGATGGATAAAGATGGAGATTCTAAGAAGAGATCTTTTGAATCAGGTATTCTTCTATAATTTCCCTTGTTTTGAGATTTGGTTTCTGGTGTCTAGTGATAGTATATTATCTGCATGAATTTGTGAATACCAATCAGTAATATACTATGGAAGCAAGATTAATAATTCATGTTTACTTTACTATGATACTAGTGTCCACCATGTCAAGTGATGCAAAACAATCAGAATCATATGAAGGCAAAGATCATAAGGCTTCCAAGACTGATAAACAAAGTTTTAAACCTGAAAGCTCAAGAACAGATGTGCAGGACAATCATAAATCAGAAGATAACATCCCTTTATCTAGTGGACAACCTTCAGAGAGTGTACCCATTGATGATTCAATACTAAATCCCTCAAAAGAAGAAAAACAAATACAAGAAAAAGATGGAAATCAAGTTCCTACGAATGTGGAGATTTCTGATGGCATGGCATCATCACTAAAACAGAATCCTGTTGAAACTAGTAGCATTAAAGATGAGGTATGTGACAATGAACCCTGGAATATGATTACATCTATCTGCAAATCACTTAACTTATAAAGCTGCTAAGAACTTAATATGACATTCTCCTGAAAACCTAAAGAATCTTGCTTTTCTTTGTTTGTAAGGTTATGGCTGGTGGTTGACATATATCTATATATATTGAAACTATTTTACCCTTTCTCACCAAACTCTGTGCTGTGTTAAATAGGATTTAGTTACAACTTTGTGCTATGCCAAAATGTGTCTATAGTTGGGAAATAATTTTCATGTTCATTTTTCTTTTTCTTTGGTTAAAACTTGCTTATTTAAAAGACGAGTGAATCTTATTCCTGTAAAAATGTATATACAAGAAAGAAGTTGTTTTAAGTATGGAATCTGTTTAACTTTATTTTATTGATCTTGATGGAAGTTGGGTTCTATACTTCTATATACTTTCTTGAATTGCATTTATCTGTAACACTCTTTAATTTTTCTTATTTAGGTTAAGCATGATGATGTTGATGATGCAAATAACAATGAAAGAACTTGTAGCACAAGTAATGGAACTCAGCCCAACATAACCAATCTAGAAAAACTAGACTTGACCCCAAATGTCGATCTCCATATTCCATCACCACCAATCGAAGTAAAACCAGTAGAAACCACCCATCCTGAAAAGACTTCTAATTACCAAAATGCCCCCGCTAGTGATTCAAAGTTAGATAGCTCCAAGACCTTGACCCAAGATCCAAAAACTTCTGATGATCGTTTATCTCCAATTTCTGAAGTGAAAAAGGAATCTGCATCTGTATCTGTGACCCATAAGGTGCAAAATCATGTTGATACTCATACTCAATCAGAAGGCCCACCTAAATCACATGGAACTGTTACAAATCATCGCAAAATTACAGGTAAGCCCTCGTCAAAACCATCTATTCCAGAAAAGCCAAGATATTCCAACTCAGAGGGCAAACAGAAAGAAAACAATAGTAAGATCAAAAAAGATAATGCAGATGTTTCTGAGAAGCCAAAAAATATTGTAAAAGAACTTCCGAAATCATCCTCGACTTCTGCACTAAAATCATCACATTTGAGCAAATCTTCACATGTACCCAAAAAGAACTCGTCTGATTCCAAAGATCCTGCAGTCTTATCATCATCTAAAGCCACCACCACCACCACCCCCGCCCCAGATTCCGGTGACTCTGCAAATTCATTGAGATGTGAAAGTGGTGGTGGTGCAAATGAACAGAACAACAAAAGCACTTCAGAATCATCACAAAAAGGTGAAAAGGTTAATCAGATAAACAACAACAGACAACAGGCTGCAATTAAACATGTTGTTCACCCTCCTCCATCTACAAACTTAAGTGATGAAGAGCTTGCTTTGCTTCTTCATCAAGAGCTGAATAGCTCTCCAAGAGTTCCTCGGGTGCCACGTATGCGCCATGCTGGCAGCTTACCTCAGCTAGCTTCAACCACACCCACAAGCACATTAATGAAACGGACATCAAGTTCTGGAGGAAAGGATATGAATAATGGGCCAAGAAAAAGAAACAAGGATGTAACAAATAATGTTGAGGGGGCAAAAAAAGGTTCAAGGAGACATGAGACTTTGAAAAATAATGGATCAACCAATAAGAGTGTGCCACCTGTCTCAACAACTGTAAGCAGCGGGCCATCTTCTTCTAATGAAGCTAATGAACATAACATGTCGTCACCTCAAAATGCTTCTGATGATGAACTTCCTACCCATCGCACTTTACCAGGTCTGTTTGCAATTTACATAAAGAAATCTTGAGTAAATTACATTTTTGGTCCCTGAGTATAGATGATTTTTTGCAATTTTGGTCATAAAAATAGTCATTTTACTTGAACCATGGACCAAAAACACTATAGAAACCTCAAATGGTGACCAAGTTTGCAAAAGAAAACTTTTTGGGATTAAAATTGAAAAATCCAGCTATACTCAGGGACCAAAAATGTAATCTACCCTAAAATCTGGAGATTAATATATATTTTGTTGTACAGGCTTGATTGCTGAGATTATGAGCAAAGGAAAGCGAATGACATATGAAGAGCTCTGCAATGCAGTTCTACCGGTATAATTTTGTTTTAATTTTACAAAATAGACCCTTAAACTCAATAATATATATAAAAGCCACCATTAAAATAGACCCTTATATGCTTTAATTGTTGATTAATTCGCATCATGATATTAATTTTCAGCATTGGCCTAATTTGCGTAAGCATAATGGAGAGAGATATGCGTATTCAAGTCACTCGCAAGCTGTTCTTGATTGTTTAAGGAACCGAAGTGAATGGTCAAGATTGGTTGACCGTGGTCCCAAGGTAAAAACCTAAAACCCTAAACCCTGAAATGGTGTTTGCTATATATTTCAAATGAAACATTTTGGTATCTGTATTTGTGTTGCAGACAAATGCAGGTAGAAAAAGACGAAAGTCTGAAGCTGATGCACAAAATGTTGAATCTGAAGAAGAAGCAGCAGCAGCAGCAGAAGAAGAAGAAGATGATGATTATAGCACAGATAGGAACACAAAGGATGTAGATAATAACAAGAGTGTAGGTGATGAATTCCCAAAAGGAAAAAGAAAAGCTAGAAAACACAGGCGACTTGCTATGCAAGGAACACGGATGATCAAAAGGAGACGAAAAGCTGAAGTTGTTAGTGATGATGATGTGGATTCATCTTCTTCTTCTGATTCTAGTGAAGAAAGTGCATTCAGTGATGAAGGTGGAAAAACATCGGTTGCAAATGAAGCATCTGCCAGTTCAGAGTCATAATGTTTACTATTACCAGTTGACTTTTGTTGTATGATATTAGAGTGTTAGATGTATAACTAGAGCTTGTATTATTAAAAAGATGAAATCTTTCTAACGTGATTCTTATCTTTATAGATAAAGAGGCTAAATGGGTAATGATTTCTATCTGAATAAACTTTGATTAAGTTGCAAAAAGATATATAAAGATGAGAGGATACAATTATACATGAATATGAAAAACCTAAAGCATCGAATGAAAGAATAGAAATGGATACTAATAATAATAATAAAGAAATACAATTTTCCTCCCTTCTTCTCTCTTTATTGATTGTGATCGTCTCTGATTGATGGCTTTTCATGGCAATGAAATCGAAATCAAAATCAAGATCAAACCCACCGCCGATAATATTCCGATACTTCTCCTCCAAATGAGTCTTTCCTGTAAAAAAAAAAAAAAAAAAAAAAGATGCTTCAGGTTTGGAATAAAAATATTCTCTGTAAAAAGGAAATGGAATAAAGGGAAAAAGAAACTCACAGCCGGCGAGATTGACATGTAGCCGTTGTTTGGGTTTTCCGGCGGCAAAATATACGACGGCGGCGTAGGCGTGTTTGTTCCAGAGTTGTTGTGGCCGGAATTACCTCCTCCGGAGGATATCCCGGAGAATCCGAGACCATAAGCCGGAGTTCCATCTGGTTTAAATAAACCATAGTTTCTCTCTGAAGTTGGTCCGGGTTTTAAATTCTCATTAAACATAGCAAACACAAAAATGTTTAAATCGTATTCAGGCATCGCCGGTGTTCCTTTCTTCTGACTCACCACCTTCAATAGGTTTCCATTGTATTTCTTTGCATTTTCCGGCGACGCTCCGACTTCATCATCATCTCCCTTTGAAGGCCACCCTGTTTCCGATATCTGAACCGGAAGCTTCTTGTACCCTAACGAACCAAGAGCTGCATACACAGCGTCAATCTGAGCAAACAACATATTGTCGTAATGCAAATTGTTTCCGGAATCAACAATTCCGTCGTTGGGCTGAAACAGAACGAAATCCAACGAGATTTGCTTCGGATTAGCCTTGTATGCAAAGAAAGGATAAGCGTTGATCAGAAACGGGGAACATGTTTTCGAAAGGAAGTCCAAAATAGGAGAAAGGCATCCTTTTAAATCTTCCCGGAAAGCTCCGGCCGACGGCGGATAAGAGGTTTCAAGTATGGCGAGAGAATGTGCGGTTGTGACAGTAACCTGCCGGTCCAATTTCAGGTTAATTAGGGCAGTGTGTATACTCTGCATCGCCGGAAGTAAACAACCAGAAAGAGAGGTATCATTGAAGGTCAAAACTTCATTGCCGACAGCAATAGAGGTGATTTTAGTTGCAGGGAGGTAAGCTTGGACGTTTGACTTGACCCACGATTGAGCTTCGGTGGGATCTTGCATTTTTGTTAAGTACTCATTACCAAGGCCGACGATGAACTCAACGCCGGTGTTGGCAAAAGCTTTAAGGACGTCGGGATCTGCATCATAGAGCTTCACTCTGGTGGCGCCAATGGACTTGACTAACGGAACCACCTTTTCCGGCGAGGGAAGATTGTTGGCAATTTGGCCGTAGTTGATCCCTATTGACGACACTAACACCAGTAGGTTGCCGGAAAAGAGAAGGACGATGAAGTGGAGGAGGTGAGTGGTGAAACGTTCCATGGATGACTGGATGAGTGGACTTCCAGTGATCGAAAGTGGTGGTGGTGGTGATATTGAAGATAAGCCAAGTGACACCGACTGCTAGTAGTGACGCATTAGACGTTACTTTCGTGGACAAAAATTAACCGAAACAAATGGCATGTACTTTGATATGCTCCTTTTTACTATTTTCTGTGCCAATAATAAAAAATATATGTATATAATATCAAAAGAAAGAGAATAATTGAAGAGCAAGAAAGCATGTGATTGTCAATTCATATGTCACACTAGATGAATTAAATGGCTCTTTTAATGATTTAAATTAAAATTGTTTGGTGTTTAATGGAGATATTTTTTGGAGTTTGTTGAAATGTTAGATACAAGTCCCATTCATGTTAATGTGTTGAAATCGGTAAGAATGGAAACATGTATCTATTACTAACAAGGTTTATTTTTATTTATTTGTTTTTCATGGGCTTCCGATTGAGTTTTTCACACTGGTGCAAGTTGTTTTAAAACCCTCACATTCAAAGTGACAAAATATGCATGAAAAATCAAGATGCTTTTTTAACTTTAGTGTTTGATACTTTTGGTTTATTTGCATAAGATAGTGTGGAGTTTTTCATAAAGTTTAACGAATCATATATATATATATATATATATATATATATATATATATATATATATATATATATATATATATATATATATATATATATATATATATGTTACGATTTAAGATGTATAAATATAGTTAAAAAAAAAAAAGCTAATTTTATCTAAGAAAAATTAGCAGTTCAACTTGTTGTCTATATGTTATGTATATATAAAGCTTTTATTATAATTCTTAGATTAATAAAAAATTCAATAATTATTCAAAACTGCATATATCCAACAAAATTTTAGATATCAAGCTTGGTATTTTCAAACTATCAAAAGCTTTAGAAAAATTACATTTATTTTAGAAGTTTACCAAATGGATAAAGCTAGGGCTAAATTCGTTCGACTAATCAAATTATGGCTGGATATACTACATATATTTTAATTTAATTAAATTACGAATTATTTATAAATAAATAATTAACTAGGTAATTTGTAACTAACTGTCTTGAGAGTTAGAAAATTTCAGTTTTGATAGGTTTATGGCAGAGTATAAATATCAAGTTCATTTGAAAGATTTTGGATTGGAATTTTCTCAAAGAAAACTATGGTTTCTTGTCCATGTTTTCTTCTTTCTTCCAAAATTGAGACATGATATTCAAGTAATCCATGTTTTATTATGTCTCCCAAAACTAAGACATGTTTGATTAGTGATATTCAAGTTTACTTGATTTATAATTGTTAAGGTGGTAATAGTGTCACGTTCAGGTTGTAATGGGTCAGAAAACATGATCCGGACCAAAAATTGACAAGATCTATACAGGTTCATAGGTTTGAGGGTCATAATCGTGTTTACCAGTTATATTCCAGTTCACGAGTTTGTAAGTCATAATCAGGTTCACAAGTCATTGTCATACAAGAGCATATATACATCATTCATTTTAAACATACTTCACACAATTTATAAAATTATTTACCTTTATTTTTAATAAATAAATCTTAGAGTAAATTAAAGTTTTGATCCTTGTGGTTTGTTCAGATTCGTACTTTCTATCCAACATTTGAAAATTTGACAAGATGAATCCCTATGGTTTAAAGAAATTACACTTTACATCCTTATTCCATTTAAAAACACTATTTTAACCTATATATATATATATATATATATATATATATATATATATATATATATATATATATATATATTTATATATATATGATGCGACCTGGCTCCGAACCACCGTAACTGTTGAGAGATGGCCGTCGGAATGGAACCTAAAAGGTCACAAAGAAAGAAGAGACGTCAGCCGCTCTTCGAGAGGAGGTCTCGGAAAGACGCTCCAACGGTCAAGTTAGTGAGGTAAATCTGTGAGTATGGAGGTGGATGATCGGGGTTGAATAGCTTACCTCCCAAGGCAGAGCGACCATCCTTTTATACTGAAGATCTTCCTCGGTACGTACGAGGGACAAGGACTACGGTTAAGACAGGATCCGCCATTCTTATTGGAGGGTCATGCTCCACGTTTGTATCCAACCCAACGATTGGTCCAGGCGATAATGCTCTGACTGCGCTCTTTGTCGCCTAGAGCCGTTATCCTTGTACTATAGCTAAAGGACAATATTTAGCGAGGACGGACTTCCTACGCGGTCGCCTCGCGAGAGTCCTGGGTCGCTAAAGCGGTCGAGTCCTTGGGTCAGTTTCTCGTTGCAAGTGTCTCGTCGGGGGTTTACTTGTCTCTGGGTCGGTTTCAGATTCGTACTTTCTGTCCAACCTTTGAAAAATTGACAAGATGCATCCCTATGCTTTAAAGAAATTACAATGTGCATCATCATTCCATTTAAAAAGACTATGTTAACCTATATATATATATATATATATATATATATATATATATATATATATATATATATATATATGTATTTGTTTAATTTTTATATTTTTCAGCTTACTTTTTATTTTATTTATATTTTTATGATTTTTGTTTTTTTTTTTTTTTTTGAAATTTTATTCAAATATATTTTAATGTTTTTTTTTTATTTTGTTAGTTTACATTTTTTGACGTTCTTTTAACAATTTTTCAAGGTTTTCTTTTAATGTTTTGTTCGAATTAATGTTTTTTTTTATCTTTTGGTTTTTTATATTTTAGTAAAGTTTTTTATAAATATTTTCTGTATAAAAACATAAAGTTTTTTGTTAAATGTCAATATGATTAACACATATTATGTAACACTCGATTCCGGGTACTACTTCTTATGTCCTTTAAGTTTGAGAAAATGGAAAAATTTTCCCTCGTATGTTGGGCGTACGTTTGGTACGCTTAGCGTACGAGATCGTTTTGGTCGTGAGGATTTAACCACGTACGTTGGGCATACGTGGTGTACGTCGGGTGTACGGTTGCCAGGGTCAAACCTTATAAATTAGGGTTTGAACCTTATTTGAACATCATTATAGCCTTTGAACCTCTACCCTCATCGGCCTCCATTGTTCATTTCGTCCCGTTGAAACCCTAATTCATTCTTTGAGTGTTATTGAGCTTTGAAAGTAACTTTGTGGCATTTTTATGTGTATTCAAGAAGCAGCTTGGAGACCAAGCATTTGTGGAGGTTAAGCTTTTAGATCCAGAGTCTTCATCAACTTTGTGAGCTTTAGATGGTATAAACTTCTTACCTTGATGATTCATTTTGATAGTTTGAGATTAGAGCTTGTTTGTGAGCTTTATTTGGTCCCATGGGTTCTTCTTATGAGTTTGAACAACTACATGAGTTAGATTTGTTAGATCTTAGCCTCTTTGTTATCCATGATGCATAAAAAATGCCATCTTGATGGTTGTTATTGATTTATGCATGAGTTTGATTTCTTATTATGAGTATTGTTGGACAAAAATGGATGTTGGGTTCCATTAAGACATGCAACGGGTTAAAGTTGCCAACTTTATGTATTAGAACCCGAAAATGGAAGAGATCTAAGAGTTGGACCTTATGGTTGAATGGATTAAGCACTAAATGTCTTAGGGTGGCAAGCAACCCAATACGTTGCGTGAACTGGCAATTGGTTGCGTACGCCTCAAGTGGCTCTTTGTGGGCTTTTGGTCTTTGCTTGGGGTTTAGACTTTAGGGCCTTTGTTAGGTTTTGGGCCTTGGAATGTTTGAAGCTTGAGTGGGACTCGAGATTTTGTTAGCGAGCCTTGAGTA